TTGAGCGTCTCAATCACCTGCTTCCTTGTCCTCCCTTGAGCGTCTCAATCACGTTGGTAATCGCCTCCTCCTCCTCAGACGCAGCCTCAACCTTCAGCCCGAGTGAGCGGCAGGCACGAGCAGCAGGCATGCCTGACCCACCTGCTCGCTCCTCCTCATGAACCCCTTGGCTCCGCTCCTCATCGCGGTCCTCCTGCGCAGCCGCCCTCGTGCCACCAGGACGCTGCGGTGAAAATTCTCCTCTTGCCTCCTGAGCCCGATGAAGAACGACCTGCCATGCTTCCGTCATCTCCCTCCTCCTTCTGCCTCCTTGCTCCTGCCTCCTGCCTCTCCCTGTCCTTCACCATCCCCTTTGTCTGCTCGTTCCGCTCCCCTCCTTCCTCTCTCCTTTCGTCTCCCCTCGGGCCCCTGCCTCCCCGACCTCCTGTTCGACGAGCCGACACAGACCAAGGAGACTCCCGCCTCCTCAGTGAGCTGCTGCATCGCCCGACTCTGCGAGCTGGATCAGAGCAGTAGGCAACGGCAGATCCCTGCTACCGAGACAGACTGCAAGCGCCGTGGGATCTCGGCAAAGTCGACCTCGTCGAGCTCTTTCAGCCAGTCTACGAACTCTCTGACCTGAGCGCAACCGTTACCAGCCTGCGCGAAGCCCCTCCTCGCTGTCTCGCACCTTTGATGCTTCACTCAGGTCCAGCCCCCCCGAGTCTCCCACCATCACGGAGAGAACAGTTCGATTCCCTGCACTTGATAGCCTGCTCGACATCTAGAAGAACATTTGAGTGTGTGGCAGATAGTTTGTAGATCATCATCATCATCATCATCATCATCATCATCATCATCATCATCCTCATCCTCATCCTCATCCTCATCTCCATCATCATCATCATCATCATCATCATCATCATCATCATCATCATCATCATCATCATCATCATCATCATCATCATCATCATCATCATCATCATCATCATCATCATCATCATCATCATCATCATCTCTTACCCCTTTCATGTTCAAGTGTCCCTGCAGCTGCATCATCGATGCACCGACCCTGGAGTACAGCCGGCAAAAGCCCTCGCTCTTCCTCTTCACCTCCTCCTGCCCTTCGCTGCTCCAAGTCTCACAACTCCACAACACACACAGCCTCCCATCACCTCGCAGACATCATCTTCATCCTTTCCCCTTCTATCTCACCATCTCCATCATCCAGACTACATCCGTAGGACCAAGACAGCAGCAGTCAGGACCCTGCCATCGTACCATCCCCTCCTTCTTACCTCCCAGCACCCCCACTGGACTCGATCAGAGTAGCGATCATGCGCTCGAACGCCACTACCTCTGTCCTCTGATCCCCTGCTGTCCTTGCCATGTTCATCGCATCCTGAAAGTTCTGAGACGCCTCCTCCATCTTGCCGAGCTGCCTCCGCACCATGCCCATCTGACAGGAGAACACCGCGGCTGCCTTCATGTCCTCGTTCGCCATGGCTACCCGCATGTCCTCTCGTAGATACTCCATCGCCTTCTCCCAGTCCCCACAGTCCATCAAGACGCCGGGGAGCCCGGAGTACGCGTCCTGCAAGCTCTGGGTAGTGAGGCTGTTCAGCTGCCTCTTCAGGGTGACCATGCGCTCAAGGTCGGAGGAGGAACGAAAGAGGAGCGTCACCTCAGACCCCTTGCGGTCGAAAACCCTCCTGAAGACTTTGAGAGGGTCCTCCTCATCGATCGCCTCTCCGTCTATCTTCACGATCTGATCCCCAGCTCGCACCCCGCACTGCCGAGCTTGAGTGTACGGACTGACTGCTGTTACCATGAAACGACCAGAATCATCCGGAAAGAATCCCAACCCGATGCCACACAGGTCCTCCTCTCCTAGACTTCCCTGGCCCTGCCTGTCACTTCCAACCCCATCTCTCATCGTCATGGGGATGGAACAAATGTTCCTCACTCGCATCGTCCGAGCCATGGATGAAGGGAGAGGAGAGCCGGCATGAGGAAACCGAGTGACCATGCGGGGAAGGACAGGGACGTACTGAGAGGAGGGAGGAGGGAGGAGGAATCCGACGCTCCTTCGCTCCCCCTCCGCCTGCATCAGCGTCGCGCATGTCCACAGCACAAGCGCTCGCCCCACCACCATAAACTACTACTCCCTTTATATGCGACCTCTCTTTCTTTTAACTTTTACAGGTCCTGGCGGACCGCCGGGCCCGGCGGCCCGACTCAGAGTCACGGTTGCTCCGAGCCTCCGATCGGAGCCTGAGGCTCTCAGCGGCGGCCCGGCCAAGGATATGGCACTGAAGAACTTGTAGGTAGCGAGACAATCTGTACACTGTCTGATGCGCGCTTGCACAGCAGCAGCAGACGCTCACTGAACTACTTGGCTCGGCCAGTTGAGCCTCGCGAGATTACCTAGAGAGTTGCTACACCCGGGTGCTACCTGAAGGTCACTAGTCTACAGCTGACTACCACTTGGATCCGACCAAAGTCCAGTTGACGTGTGACAGGCAGACACGGTCACAGAGCTGAAGGAACATTCCACTTCGAACAAGCTCAGTTGATTTCGATCCATGGTGACAAAGGAAGTCACAACAGATCGGTGGGTAGAGAGAGTCAGTACCGTACACTTCTAGTGTGTACTACAGATCAGTGCACTCGGTCAGTACACCGAGTACCGTCCGATTACTAGTCTATGTAGACTGAGATCATTGCACTACTAGTACCGTACTGAGAAGGTAGAGGGATCAGTACATTACCAGTAGAGATCATCAACGGTGGAGAGATCAGTAAACCACTGTTAGTAGGCAGAGAGATCAGACAGAGGCTGATAAGTGACAAGGGCCCCATAGCAGACTATTTACAGTATCACTGCTCTTCGTTCTAGTATCCACACTTGCCTTGCAATGTTCAAATCTTGCTGGTGTTGCCTCGTAGCTGCATCAATGAAGATCTTTCAGCACATCTGCTCCCCCTGGTCTGCGTCTTTCGGATCGAGCCCCTTGAAGTCTTGCGATGAGTTTGGATCTGCCAGCCAGGCGAGCCCTCCTTCGATACCGCTCCCTGGCAGTTCAAACATCACAGAGAGATTTGCCGACGTCCTCTGTCTTGACTTGCCTGTCAGGGCGCAGCAGCCCTGCACCAAGAGCGGCCTCCCTTTGATCGAATCGAGCTCGAACGCTTCCTGCACGACTCCTTCCTCATGCATGCCGCCAAGCGATCAAGAGGGAGGACTCACAGTGATGTCCTCCACCGACATGGCGTCGGAACGATCTTGCTTGTTGGCGTATACCAGCAGAGGCTTGAGATGACGTCAGCACTTGCGGTCAACACTGACCTTGTTGGTGAATACATACCACATTTTGTAGTACGTCCGACTCCAACAAGTCCTTCAGCAGATCCTTGGCTTCCTTGATCCTGAGAGGACGTCAAGTGACACAACCGTCAAGGGCTGTAGAAAAACCATTGGCGGTCGCAGCTATCAATCACGAAAACAATGCCTTTCTTCTTATATTTTACCAGGTTCGTGCAAAGGGTTTTCTGGAACACTGGCCGGCTCTGGCAACCAGATGAGAGGAGATCAAGCATGTGAGGTGAAAGAGAGGATTACCCTCTGTTCTCCTCCAACGTCGAAGAAAGTGAAAGTGATGTCGCCACGTTCAAGCGTCTCCATATTCGATCCAACAGTGTGCGACGTTGTGACGCAGGTTCCAGAGACCCAATGGTACAGTATGGTCGTCTTTCCTGACTCAGCGTCTCCCGTCATCAAGACGCCTATCTTCTGCTTCCACGACACTGTCTGCAGCAGTCGAGTGAAGACTCCGCCCATGCCTCAAGTCCAGATGATTGAATGAATCGACACTCAAGATTTCAGAGCGGTTTGCTGCCAGCCTTACCGGCACTCCGCTCGTGGAGGATGGAAAGGAATCGGAGTGACTGGAATCTGATTTGAATTGTGAGGACAGGAGAGAGAGAGAGAGCAGCTGCCGAAAGAAAGCCAGGAGGATCGCAGTGCAGGATAGTTGGAGTTGCAGGGGAAGGAAAATGTTCGAGTCTGGACTCGAGCACGGAAACCGCAATATGAAGAGAAGATGAAGCGAGGCGGAGGAAGAATCAAGGAGCTCAACAGGGAGGATGATGAGTAAGGAGAGGAGGAGAGAAGGAGAGGAGGAGAGGAAGAGAGGGAGAGGGAGAGGGCGCGAGTGGAGGGAGGGGGGCAGGGGACAAAATTTTTGCAGGCTCAATTCTTTAGCTAGAGATCCCGCAAGGTGCATCTCTTGTAGGGTAGGGGTACTTTTGATGGGTAGGGTAGTAATCTGAAAGACTGTGTATACCCATAGATATCCATGAAAAAGAGGGGTAGGGTTTCATAAAGAGGGGTAGATTGAAGTAGGGGTACTGAGGGAAATAGGGGTAGTCGAGGAATGCGGCTTGCCAGGATTTCCATGCCATCACACATGCTGTCTCTGCAGTTCCCCTCCCCTCACTCCTCCCCTCCTCCTCGCCCTATCCTCCCGTTCCTCATCCGGTCATAGCATCCTCGCCTCCTGATCTCCTCTGCTGTCCTCTCCTGCTCTTCGCTTCCTCACTTTTCTCCCTTCCTCGTTTGGTCGATTCACTCACCCCGTCCATTTGTATACCTGACGTGAAATTCTTCCTTCTCTTTCTCTCTCCTCTCCTTTATCCCTCCATCGTTCGCACCTTCTCTTCCTCCTTCTCCAGTCCACATTTCTTCTTGCAGACTCCTTACATGGCACTGATGGAGGGCTGCAACCCCCGTTCATGCTGCTCATCGATGACAGAACGATAGCAATCGATCTTCAAACTCAAGACATTGAACTTGCAGACATGCGCCTGAACACTTGCAGAGATCATCAGCTACAACGATCGAGTTGATCTCTTACTCGACGCCATGAGCGTCAGTCAGACCGCACCAGTGCGTCAAGGCAGGTTGTTACAGCGAGCTACCTGGCTTCTAGTTCTGGTCCTCCACGCTCTCTCCTTCGCGTTCTGCCATGGATGCTCCGTCTTGATATCAGCAGAGCCTCACCACGACTGCCAGGAAAGGACGTGGGTGCTAGAGGGAGGAGTGAAGGGTCACTGGAGCCAGGGGATAGACATCCTCGTCTTCGAGTGCGAAATGGTCAACCTTGTGCTGATGGCGTCAGGTTGTGAGGCAGCAGAGCAGCAGCCGGTCAAAGTGAGGATCGACACGGGCGAGCACTTTATCCATAGGGGGAGCTACACCTCCTCCGAGCAGCCCTCTTTCCGCCTCGAGATCCCTGGCGTCTCCGAGTCCGGCATTGACGTTCCCCTCCTGCACCTTGCCGATGGCATGTACAACCTGACTGCCCACTTCGGACATCCCCTTCACCTTGCGGCCAGCACCATGTTCGCCAAGCTCTCTCCCCACGTCAACCCTGCTCTGGAGGTCATGTTCCCTCCCCAACGGTACACTTTCGGCAACGACATGGAGCCTTTCCTGCAGGTCTACGTGCAGGACCGTGACGCTTCCATAGCAGCATCAGGAACCACAGCAGGAGCATCGAAGCAGCTCGCGTTCTACCTGAACATCACGATCAGGAGGCTCGAGGGAGAAGAGGTGGTGGAGGAGAAGACGGTCATGGAATGGTCGCCGAATTCACGGAAAATCTTTCTCGGGAGGCACATGGAGGCATCGGGAACTTACAAGATCGAGATGGTGATCTATGATGCTGTGCTCCGTCCGACAGATGCTCGAGAAGAAGTCCTTGTCATGATCTCCCACTCATCGCGCTCCCCTCTCGCCTGCATCGCTGGGGAACCAGAGTGTACCCCTCAGGCGACAGACAGGACGGGAGAGGAATGGTTTCAGGGGGGGAATCATTCTACCTTCCTCGATCGACTGGTTGATGCCGTCCAATCTCATTGCCCGCAGATTTCACCGCAGGACAGACATTGTCGGGACAAGGAGCAGGATGCTTGCAGCGGACATGGGTGGTGTTTGGACAGTTTCTGCTACTGCTATCAAGACTATGCTGGTCCGAAATGTGATACCCACTTGCTGTCTGCTCTGCAATATTTGCCCTCCTCCTATCCGACGCAGGACGTGTCCCACTGCCATCAAAGTATTGCTCTGTCGAGGTGAGAGTGGAAGGCAGGACAGCAGGACGAGATCTGAAAGGGAGAAGGGAGGAGGGGGAAGCGGAGGGAGGAAGAGCGCGGGGAGGAAATTACACCTGACTGATGCATTTCAGGGGGATGGAGGGCCTGTCGCGAACTTATAATGCTCTGCAAAATCCAGCTGTATGTGATGATAGCAAGGTGAGAAGACTCGTTGCTGCTCTGTCGAAGATGCAATGAATGACATGTAAGCTCTGCCGATTGAGGAACTTTTATGTCTTGATACAAGATGTACCTGTTCGTTCATGGGGCAAACGATGACTATGTTCAAGTCTATTCAGCGGAGGTTCAACAAGACCCAAGGGCTGGGCGTCACTTTCCGTTGGCTCTCCCTCTCTCTCCTCTTGTCTCTTGCAGAGCAGAAGGTGAGCAAGATTTCAATGAACTTCACTCCTCCTCTCTCCCCCCTCCTTCAACATGCATGTCGCTCTACTCTTGTTCTTCCTCTTCGCGCCACTTTCCATCTCTCGCTCCCACTCGTTCACTCGTCGGGATTCAGACGCTGCTGATCGGAGGGAAGTGGCGAGCTTTCAACTTCGAAGGATGCAGCGATCGCGGGCTCTGGTGCTACCTCCTGCCCAGCAGCAACTGTAGCGTGAGCAGTTGGCGCTGGGAGGAGATCAGTGAGAAAGATTTCTATATGCCACAGGTAAAGGAGCAACGACGTGCATGTTCTCCCAGCAGCCCCTGGCGGCTCCCCTGTCCTCTCGTTTCTGCTCCTTTTCCACTTCGCTCCTCCTCCTCCTCCTCCTCCTCCTCCTCCTCCTCCTCCTCCTCCTCTCTTCTTTCTCTTCTAGTCCCCTCCTCTCCTCTCACCCCTCCTCTTCCCTTTTCCCCCTCCTCTCTCCTCCTCCTCTCATCACCCCTTCACCTCTCTCGTCGACTGCTGCTATGTACTCCCATAGTCCCATCTTCCGCCCCTGCCATTCTCTTCATCTCCGCCTCCTCTTGCTCCCTCCTCCTGACTCCTCCCTTCCTTTCAGGTGCTTGTCGTCCCCTCTGAAGGGATCGACCAGGGGCAGCTGTGGTGGAGCTCGCAGATGACGCATCTGATCATGAGGCCCTCAGTTGACTTGAAAGAGAAGGTGCGACGGATCAAGGTGAAGGAGGAGGAGGAGGAGGAGGAGGAGGAGGAGGACTGAGGAGGAGGAGGAGGAGGAAGACTGAGGAGGAGGAGGAGGAGGAGGAGGAGGACTGAGGAGGAGTAGGAGGAGGAGTACCAAGGGTTTGAGTGAGAGAGGAGGAGGAGGAGGAGGGAGAGGTGGGAGTGGAAGATAAGCAGCAGCAGCAGCAGGTGGTGGTGGTGGGGCTGCTGCTGATGAGAGCGTCTTGTCAGAATTCTCTCAGCTGGTCTGGTCGAGTCGTGGGGCTTCACGTCCGGCATGGAGACTCTTGTGCTGACATCGCTCGCCGTCGTTGCCTGCCTGCTGGGAAGTACCTGGAGGTGAGGAGGAGGATGGCAAGGGATGCGAAGAGGAGGCGTGCCAGGAGTGGAAGTGAGTTGAGGATGAGGAAGAGGAGCAGAGGAAGGTCAAGAAGCGGGTAGAGGAGAGGCGAGGAGAGGCGAGGAGAGCAGAGGTCGGGAAGAGGTGAGGAGAGGCGAGGAAAGGTGGGGAGAGGCGGGAGCGGGAACAAGACAGGAGAAGAAAAGAAGGGACGTGGAGAGGGTTAGGCAAGGGAGGGAGAGAGGAGGGAAAGACGGATGGATCGGCTCCCTTGTAACATTTGAGGAGGTGGCGGAGGAAGTCCTTTCACGCTACCGGATGGACGCGATCTACTTGGCAACTGACGACCCTGTGGTGGTGGAGGAGGCGAAGAAGAGAGGAGTGAGGTAGGACGCATGTACTATCTTCCCTTCTTTCTTCCCTTCCTTGGGCGCATTGTGGTCTACCTGCTCCTTGGAGGATGGAGAGTGAGGAGCTGACGGCGAGGCAGGTACATCTCTGCTCCCATCAAGCGCCACCTTTTCAGCAACCACATGTACATCGAGCATCGGCTCAACTTGGGCGTCGTCGACAGGAAGGTTGGGAGGAGGAGGAAGGGGGAGACGAACGAGAGTTGGAGAAGTTATGAGTGAGAGGCTGGGGAAGAAAGTGGAGAAAGGGGGGATGACAATGGGAGAGAAGTCAAGTGCAGATGGAGGCAGGGTTGGTAGGAAGGAGGGTCATGGTAGGAGACATTGGGGAAGGGTTGAGGAGAGCGAGGAGGGAGGGAGGAAGGAGGAAGTAGGGAGGGAGGAGGGAGGAGGGAGGCGGGAGGAGGGGGGGGGGGGAGGTGGTGGGTGGGAGGGCGTCGGTCGTGGAACCCGTCCCGA